GCTCTCACTGACAGCACTGAGAGATCACAGCAGAGTGAGCACTGAGTGGAGGAGAGACGCAGCTCTCACTGACAGCAGAGCACTGATATCTGTTCAACCTCCAACAGATGAGATGGCAAAGGGGTTCGAGTATTCAAAATCCTTAAAGTTCACTGCCAAAGGCCGGAGGATTGAATTTGAGGACCTCAAGTCCAACAGGGTCTCAAGGTCAATGTTAAAAAAGGGCACTCAAGGATGAATGTGGGGGGGGTCTAGAATAAGCTGCCCAGCCACACGGTTGAACCTGACTGCCTGCAGCTGGATGATCGATCAAGAAATCAGTAAACTAAAAAGCAACCAAACCACCCAGATGGGCTGAAAAGAGCCCCTCTCATTCCTCAAGGTTCCCGTCTTTTGCAACAGCGATAGTCTAGTCATGTAGAAGCGTGGCGAGAGCGCCGTCTCTTTAAGAGCGCAGACGACACGCCCAGCCCTCTGCTAGAGGAGCCGGAGATCCTGCTGGCTGCGCTCGGGCTGCCCCTGGCGGGAGAGACAGGTGTTTCCGGATGTCTGAGGTATTCTGCAGGTGAATTCGCTGGCTGGGCTCCAGGTGTAATTACAGATCTGTGCTCTTGTGCTCAGTAAAAACACACGAAGCTGCACCACATGAGCAGGTCCCCATGAACGCACTGCCACCAGCCCAGGGTGAGCCCTGCTGCCCCCGAAGGGGGAGGGGTGACAGAGACAAGACCCCAGGACGGCAGGGAGGCAAGAGTCCAAAATGAAGGTATGGAAAGACACTCTGACAGCCTGCAGGAGGGGGACCCAACACTGGACCCATGCACCTCAAGTCCAGGGGAGGAGTGTGGGAGCTCAGTCGTTGTCTTGATTAAGGAGGAGAGAGATCAGTGGATCCAGCCCGGGTCCTGGGGTACTTGGTGGTTCTCTATTCAAATGGATTCCTCAGCACAGGGACCCTTTTAATTAACCCAGGCTTGCTTATTTCTTTTGGCAAACAGCCCTTGGTTTCAAAAAGACCATGATTCAGAGGTACAGTTTCTACTAGCTGCTGAGTGGGTCTGTCTAAGCAGTTCTGAGGAACCGATCAGTTTCTGAGGAACTGATGCAGGTGGGAATGAAACTGTCTCAACACTCCCAGGGTGCTCTTTCTATTCTTACTGTAAACGTCCGGGTGGTCACATTTCAGGTAATCCACCCTAGGGGTAGTTCTGAAATTTAGAAACTGCTGCAGGTTTGATATCAATTACAAATCCCATTCAGTGTTTTTAATAATACCCTTAACATAGAAAACCAATACAGATGAGCCTGTGATGAAGAACACAGCGGGAGCAAAAAACAGAAAAGAGAAGACCCCAGGACCAAGGCTGGGAAACGCTGAGCTAGAGCCGTGTGTTTCAGAAGGACAACTTAAAAATGGTTCAATACCTATTGGGCAGCCAGTGTAGGGATGCCAGCACATGTGTGATCAATAGAGATGAATGGTATCCTGGCGTCAAAATTTGGAATTTTCCCCCCACCCCTACCCTGTGTCATAGAAAGGGGACATAGAAAGAAAAAAGTGGTGAAGAAAGATGGAGGCAGTGTGCAGACGGAGAGAGAACCACCTCCTCCCACCCCACCTGCTTACCACATGGTGCTGATTCAGTGTCCTTGGTGATGTTAGATATTTCTGATAAGCACTGCTGTTTATGGACTAGATTACCAATCATGAAGCACACCCTAAGAACAAGCTAACTTCCGACTTCACTGACTTCAGACTCTCAGCTCCCACTCGGTACCTTAAAGAACAGCTAACCTGCATTCACGCAGGCCACAGAAACCCCTCCCAGGAGGAAGAAAAGAGGAGAGTCCTTGGAGCACTCCTGCACTCACTTGAGAAACCTGAACGCCTCCACTGTGCAGTTTCTCGCCTGGGGTGGGGGGGCCAGGGGCAGAGTGCAACAGGGCACAGTGCCGGTGGAATCAAACACTGATAACAAAGCTCCAACTAAGCACAG